GCAGGGTTTGGATTCTTGGGTCTCAGGGTCGAAGCTTTTCCAGTGTCCTTGCCTCTTCCTCCCTTGGCAGCCAAGCTCTGCCTTGTGTCTGTGGTTAATCTGGAGGGAGACAGTTTGTGTCCCTCCCCAGTGGTGTAACTCTGGTATCATGATAGGATCCTAGGCCCAAAATGGTTTCCATCCTGGCCCCAACCATGTGAAAGAGGAGTTTTACTACTACTTCTTTCTCAGAAGTAATAGATTTTTCCTTTGGATCTGGGAGCAGCAGAAGGGTTTGCTACTGCTCCTGCAGTGACTTAAGGCTTTTTTACATTTGTGAGGGAAAGGTCTGGGGAAGGTGATGGGGCTTCCTGAATGTCCCCTAGCAGAGGAGGATCATCCCCCGCACTGTGCCAAGGAAGGGGACCTTTTCCAGTCTCCTGTGCTGCACCCAATCTTCCTTCTGAGCCTTTGATGGAGGTCCATAGAAAAGAGCTTTTGATGAGTTTGTATCTGGGCATCCCAGCTATTCCAACTGATATGATTACTCCGCTCTTAAGAATTTATTAAAATATTAACTGATTTCTTGTTACCTGTTTGTATGGTGATCACCTCTCTCTCCTATGTTCTGCCAAAGGTGAAACAGATTATCCATCTCTCCTCAAAGGAGCTTTGTCACCCTCTGGAATTCAGTTCCCTGATGTCCTTAAGAAGTTATGAATTTGAGGAATATCTGTATTTTTCTCATTGCTAGGAACCATGTTCTCTTTGGAAACAAAATCTTTGAAAATCATACTTTAGAAACAGCTGGTTTTTCTGCCCAAGACCTTAGCTGGAAAGGGATGCCGAAACTTAAGTTACTTCTAAAACTATCATAACTGCTTCATCAGACACACTTTCTTTGGGTCACACTGTGAAATACTTCTGGCAGAATATTAAAGAGTTCATTTCATAAGATTCTTTTCTCTGTGATGTCACCTTGAGTTGGAGCTTTATCCTACACTGATGAACTCCACTCCTGAGTGGGAAGGCAAGGAAATCGGGTATTATTACTGACTTTCTCATAAACAGTTATGCAAGGTCAGGGTTGGGAGGACCATGGAAGGTTATGTGATCTGTACAACTACCAGCTGACTGGTGACTCAAGTATCATGAACAAGCTGTCCAATAATTTGCGCTAGAGCATTTTCAGTGTTGGTGATTTTATTATTTTTAAAACTAGCTTATTTTATCTTCTTTTGTTTGATATCACAGTTACATTGCTCTTTATATTGAACTGAAACTTTCCCTTTTATAGTCAGTTCTTAGCTACCTGCTCTGATTCCTCAGTCTGGCGGGAGACAGCCTGGCATCTGTACCTACCCCCCAACAGAGGTGAGCAATGGCCTCTCAAAAGTTGTTTTGTGGTGATCGCCGTGCTTCTCCTTACTTGATTTTGTTCTGCCTTTCCTTCAAACCCAGTCTCTATCCACAAATGAACCCTGGCTAAAGTAATCACAATTTTGAGGCTACCTTTGGTTCTAAGAACTTGATATTCATAAACTGACTTCCCAGATTTTAAATCTTAGCATTTCTAATGGTTTGCAGTTTGAATTTGCTTTCTGGTTCTCTGCTTGGTAAATAATCCCTGCTCAAGTTCTAGGCCTTGAGAAGTCTGGCTTCATGATAATCCATCAGTGGTTCCCAAGAGAAAGGACTTGGGAATCTCTACCCTTTACACTTCACCAAGCAAGTTAATTTACACTTCCACTTACCTAGTCTCTTCACATGCTTGAAGATGAACTCTGTTCATTCAAAGTCATCTCCTCTTTACACTAAATACTCCTAGTATCTCCTCATATGTTTCCTATGGGAGTTTTAAGGAAAAGAAAATGTGTTGAGCCAATCATAGGTAGCACTCACATTTTTATATTTCCAAACTGGTTTTTCTGCTATGCTTTCTAAATTTGGGATGGTTGAAGATTCTAATCCTTATAAACCTGACACATAATGCACTGTCTTTACAGTAAGGCATTAAGACAGTTTTTATTAAAAAAATTTTTGTGACAGAGTTTTGCTCTTGTTGCCCAGGCTGGAGTGCAGTGGTGCGATCTTGGCTCACTGCAACCTCTGCCTCCAGGGTTCAAGCGATTCTCCTGCCTCAGTTTCCGGAGTAGCTGGGATTACAGGCACGCACCACCATGCCCAGCTAATTTTGTATTTTTAGTAGAGACGGGGTTTTCTCCATGTTGTTCAGGTTGGTCTCGAACTGCCCTCCTTGGCCTCCCAAAGTGCTGGGATTACAGGCGTGAGCCGTAACACCTGGCCTTAAGATAGTGTTGTTTTATTTTTAAGAAAAATATATGCATGGATTTAGGTTGAAGAATCAAATATTTCTACAGTTAATTAATAAAAACAGCAGTCTTCCACTTATTTTCTCTTTCCTTCCCAGAAGCAACCACAATATTTAGCTAATTATTTAACTATTTTGATATTTACCCAATGTTTCTTTTTCTTTCTTTTTTTTTTATTGAGATGGAGTCTCCCTCTGTCACCCAAGCTGGAGTGCAGTGGTGTGATCTTGGCTTACTACAACCTCCGCCTCCTGGGTTCAAGTGATTCTCCTGCCTCAGCCTCCTGAGTAGCTGGGATTTTATGGGTGTGCCACCACGCCTAGCTAGCTTTTGTAGAGACAGAGTTTCACCGTCTTGGCCAGGCTGGTCTTGAACTCCTGACCTCAAGTGATCTGCCTGCCTTGGCCTCCTAAAGGGCTGGGATTACAGGTGTGAGCCACCACACCCAGCCTGTTTACTCAGTGTTTCGAAGTAACACATTTACATACTATTTTTTTTTATATTCAGTGTTTGATTGTAACTGTGTGACTATTGTTACAAAATAAAACATGTAGTACACCATCATTTTTCCCCTTACCTGTACAGTTTTTTGTTTCTTTCTCAGGTAACAATTGCCTTCTTATCTGATTACTTTTCCATGGACCGATCAGTCATTCAGTCTTTGTTGATTGTTTAAATCTCCTCTGAAGATGTTGAAATAAGGCGGGCATCTGGCTCTCTTGATCCTGATGAAGGGATCTCTCCCGGAGCCTCCAAACTACTTCTTTGTGTGGTGATTGTCCTCTACCTTAGTGTGAGTGGCAGCCTGGAATGTCACTTCCCCAGCATTTTGGGATTTTTTTTTTTTCTTTTTTTTCATCCATTGACATCTGTTTTCTGCATGCTATTTCACCTGTTTTCTTAGTTTATTCTCTTGTTTTGGTTGATCATACTCTCCTATTGCTTCCTGAGAAGAGGTACATGGGAGAAGGTATGAAATGCTGGCGGGCGCAGTGCCTCATGCCTGTAATCCCAGCACTTTGGGAGGCTGAGGTGGGCAGATCCAGGGGTCAGGAGATCGAGACCATCCTGGTGAACATGGTGAAACCCCGACTCTACTAAAAGCACAAAAACTAGCTGAGTGTGGTGGCGTGTAGTCCCTGTAGTCTTAGCTACTTGGGAGGCTGAGGCAGGAGAATTGCTTGAAGCTGGGAGGTAGAGGTTGCAGTCAGCCGAGGTTGTGCCACTGCACTCCAGCCTGGTGACAGAGCAAGACTGCATCAAAAAAAAAAAAAAAAAAGAAAAGAAAAAAGAAAAAGTCTTCATTCTACCCTAAATTTAAACAATAGTTTAGCTGACTGGAAACTACTAAAATGGACATCCATTTTTCTCAGAATTTTGAAGGCATTTTGCCATTGCCTTTTTAAAAACAACTTTTAATTTTGAAATAATTTTGTTTATAGAACATGTCAAAGATAGTTCAGAGTTCTGTATGCCTTTTCCCTGGCTTCCCCTCACGCTGTAATTTTTCATAACTGTGGTACATTTGTCACCAATAAGAAATTCATACTGCTAGCTAAACTGTAAAGTCTAATCATATTTCTCTTTAGTCATATTTCACCATATTTCTCTAACATTCTTTGTCTGCTCTAGGATCAAATCCAGGATACCAAGCTGTAATTAAGCCATCACGATCTGTTAGTCTCCTCCAATCTGTGACGGTTGCTTAAGCTTTTTCTTACTTTTAATAACTTTTGAAGGGTGCTGGTCAGTATTTTGTAGAATGTCCCTTCATGCGATTTGTCTAATGTTTTCTTATGTTAAGACTTGGGTTATGGATCTTGGGGAATAATACCACAGAGGTAAAAGTGTTCTCGTTGCATCCTAGTATGGCAGCTGTTCCTAACCTTTTTGGTACCACAGACCAGTTTTGTGGAAGACAGTTTTTCCATGGACTGGTGGGTGGGTGGGGGATTAGATGCTTATAAGGAAGGAGCAACCTGATTCCTCGCATGTGCAGTTCACAATAAGGTTCTCTCTCTTAGGAGAATCTAATGCCGCTGGTGATCTGACAGGAGGCAGAGCCCAGGCTGCAGTGCTCACACACCTGCCGCTCACCTCCTGCTGTGCGGCCTGGCTCCTAACACACGGCGGGACCAGTTCTGGTTCCTGACCCGGGAGTTGAGGACCTCTCTGTTAGGGGAGTGCATTGTACCAACATAACGTGTAACTGGTGACGTTAACTCTGATTGCTTGGTTTAGGTGGTATGTGCTGGGTTTTCCCACTGTGAAGCTGCTAATTTTCCTTGTCTTCTAGTAAGTTTTGTTACTCTTCTGTTGCCTTCCATTCTCCCAATTCTTACAGGTTAATGCCTTTCAAGATCAGTCCTTTTACTCTCATTTTATTGGTGTTTTTGGAGGAAATGAAATTAGATATGTGTGTTCACTCTGTTATTCTGGAGTTTGTCTGTCTTCCCTCTCTCTTTTCTTTTCTTTTTTTTTTTTTTGTTATTTAGTTTTTATTTCATAATCATAAACTTAACTCTGCAGTCCAGCTAGGCGTGGAAGGGAACAAGGAAAACATGGAACCCAAAGGGAGCTGCAGTGAAGAACAAAGATTCTAGGATACTGCAAGCAAGTGGGGTAGAGGGCGCTCTCCTGAGCTGCAGAAGGAACGGTCTGGTGGTTAAGATAAAACACTAGTCAAACTTATTCAAGGTGTCCACAGTCAGCAATGGTGATCTTCCTGCTGGCTTTGCCATTCCTGGACCCAAAGCGCTCCATGGCCTCCACAATATGCATGCCTTCTTTCACCTTGCCAAAGGCCACACGCTTGCCATCCAGCCACGCGGTCTTGGCAGTGCACATGAAAAACTGGGAACCCTTTGTGTTGGGTCCAGCGTTTGCCGTGGACAAGATGCCGGGACCTGTGTGCTTCAGCACGAAGTTCTCATCATCACATTTCTCCCCGTACATGGACTTGCCATCAGTGCCATTATGGCGTGTGAAGTCACCACCCTGACACATACACCCTAGAATATTTCTGTGAAAGCAGGAACCCTTACAACCAAATCCTTTCTCTCCAGTGCTCAGAGCATGAAAGTTTACTGCTGTCTTTGGAAACTTGTCTGCAAACAGCTCGAAGGAGACGCGGCCCAAGAGCTCACCCTTGACGGCAATGTCAAAGAACACGGTGGGGTTGACCATGGCTGGTACTACAGGGCTCCAGGTGACGGCGGCGTCTGCAAAGCCCCCTCTTTCTCTTTTACTGTTTTTTCTTTTCACCCTTTCTCCCTTCTAAATTAATGGAAGGTCAAATCCTGAACATGTAGGCCATTTTAAGGACTTGGCCTTTAACTTGGAACAAGAAGGGCTGCTGAGTGTAGCCTGCAGAGGACCCGAAGTGGAATCAAGGGGTTAGTTAGGAGACTGAGGAAATAAGCCAAGACTGAACATGGACCAAGCTCGTGGCAGCATTTTGAAGCTGGGAGGGATTATGCAAATATCAGGTATCATTATTATTTGGTGGAAACATCTTAGTACCGGGGACAGTTGAGTGCAGTGGAAATATATTAAAAACAAGGATTAGTTGTAATATGTGACAACATAGATAGATGTAAAAACAATGCTTGGTGAAAAAGTAGCAAACCAATGAGATATACAATAGCGTATAACTATATTACAAATAAATGCCGAGAGATTGAGAACACATTTAGCAAAGAGTATTCGAATACACTTACATGCAAATACAAAGAACTGTGTTAAACACCTTAAAATATTTGCCTATGGGGAGGAGGGTAGTGGTGGGATAATAGGTGGAAAAGTAATAAACAAATCAACAGATAAATAACCAGAGGGAGGGGAAAGCTTTAGAATGCGAAGAAAGCTAAATTCAATCTTAAGTATGTACTGTTTGGGGCAATTTATGTAACTTTTTTGTGCTTTAGTTTCTACTCCTGTAAAATGGGGTAGTAGCACCTATTTACCATGCTTACCACAAGAATTGAGGGAGGCAGTATGTGAAATGCTTTCATTCCTTTACCTCCACGGGGTAACACTGTTGCTTTAAGGAAAGTCTGCTGAGTTCCATTCTCGTGAGATGGGAACGGGGGAATTGTGCTTCCTTATCATATGTTTTTAATTCATTTCTCTCTTCTCTTCATGCAGGGCTTACCACCCAAAAGATGGAAGGCGGAAGATACCCACCTGAGTTGCCCAGAGCCCACGGTGTTTGCTTTCTCACCACTCCAGCGTCCATCATTGAACTCTTTGCGAAAGATGTGGATATCCAGTTTTGAACAATCCAAGAAAGAAGCCCAGGCACTAAGGTGGCTGGTTGATAGGAATCAAAATTTTTCATCTCAGGAGTTTTGGGCCTTAGTATTCAAGGACTGATTTCAAAAAGGATCAGAATGACATGATGTAGGGCCTTCTTGAGGTTTATTATCTAGATTGCCTTAATATTTGAACATAATAGCCATTCTGTTGACTATCCATTAGGATAAGAATTAGTTACTGCAGTACTCATAATGAGCCCTCTCAAAGAATAGATGTAAATTACCCTTAGGGGTTGCCTCTATACTTTATACTAAACAAGGAAATATTTCTATGGACATTGGTTATCTTCCATGTCCGTGTCTGTGGACCCACATACTTACTGCCTTTTGTGGAAATTCACCTAGAGTGAGCACTTTACTTGTGCGATGGAGGCTCCAGCATCAAGCTGTAGATTCTTGATACTTACCTCACTCTCAACAGCTTATTGGTATTTGGCAAGCCCAGTGTCCTGCAGCCGAGCATGAACGTGAAATACATTAGAACTTGGCAATGAGAGATCCCATCTGTTGGTTTCCAGGGATGTAAGTGAGTAATAAAAGCTGTTTCAAGTTTATCCGCTATCTGCTCTTCACGTGAAAAGAACGTATGTGTCTCTCTTCTCTCCACACCCCGAGCCACCTCTCTAACCTTCTTTAGTTACACCTTGTCCTCTCGCCTCTCATTTCCCCTTCTAAGTAGAGTGTCTTGTAAAGACACAATAACCCTTGTGTGTTTTGATTAGTGAGATGTTACCACTTGTTTCTTCTACTGCTGGGCAGAATAGTATCAAGAATGGCTGTGATTCCGATTCAGTCTGGACAGCCTGGTCATTTCGAGCAGCGTGGGAGTAGAAGTGAATCCCCACAGGAGCTCCAGTTGTGCTGAAGCTGTTGGTCTTTTTGTAGGATGCTGTGCAGCCTGTCATGGTGGCAGCCACAGGCATTCAGTGTGTGAGCACTTCCTGTCATTTCTGATCCTGCCACAGAGAAGGTTCAGCTGTCCTGTCTGGGACATCTCCTGGAGCACCTCAGAAGACAAGGAGGAAAACACTGGCTCACGTTTTCTTTCCATGTGAGGGAGGGGAGGCTTGTAGATGATACCAAAAGCCTGTTGCCACTGTTATGTCTTGGTTTCTTCATCAGGGAAAGCCACAAGCCTCAGAAGGTAGCCAGAGGACAGGAAGAGTCTGTGATGCTCATGTCTGTGTCATGGCATACGGGGGAATTGATGGGTTCTTCCTTAGCATCAGTCCCTTGTTTCATTGAAGGCTGCTGGTGTGCTTGGCAGTGACCATTGCCTTCATTAGGTAGCTCTGGCTGGGCTTTGTCAGCCAGTAAGTGAGAAAAGAGAACCAAAACCAGTACCTCCTTATAGAAGCCAGAAGGGTCACACTGGGTGGGAGAAGGTGTCTGTAACTGGGTTCTTCCCAATCCCAGCTCTGCCGTTAACTAAGTATGATCTTGGACAAATCTCTCAATCTCCACAGGCCTTAGTTTTTGTGTCTAAAAAGAATTGATTGGGCTGGTCTTGGAAGGTTTTTTTCTTTTTTTTTTTTCCCCTATATAACATTCTTTATTGTTCATCAACATTTAAGAAATTTAATTTTGTAGATGTTTTTACTAAAGAGGGTAACAAACTGTTTTGGAACTGCTGTATATTATTCAGGGGAAGCACTGTCTTTGGAGGAAGGAGCATACTTAATGGGTAGTTTTGAGGATGAAAGGGAATTTCTCTCTCTGCCATTTTATTTGATAATATTAAAGAAATAAAGACTGGAAAGGAGGATTGCTTGTTAAAGGTTAGATTTTAAGATTTTAAATTGCGTATAAAATGAAGTGGTTTTTTTTTTTTTTTTTTTTTTTTGAACCTGCAATAGAAAGCCTGAGAGGTGACTTATACCTATGGTAAGATATTATCATGATTAATTTCAGTTTTTCATAAATGCCTTCAGCAGATACCCAGTGCTTGTGTGCTATGCGTATGTCTTAATCCTCAACTTTTCGTGCAATCTCATTCCATCTTAGTTCTTCATCAAGTCCATAGATAAAATCTTCTCTAAGTGTTTCTGAAATATGTATCCCTGAACAAATTTAGTGAAATAAAATGATTAATCTGTGTTGATCCCATTTGCCATATATCTTTCACTTTACCTCCCTGTCTCCATTTGTGAAATAATTTAAGAAAGCAACCTGTCTCACAGGGCTGTTGTGAGGAATGCCTCATGTCTGTGAAGGAGTTTGTATAATGCCACATTTTGCTTAGTGCTTTAGTATATTTTATTTGGATTGCTTTTAAGGAGTATTTGGATTGTTTTCAAAGAGTTTTTTTGTTTGTTTGTTTGTTTGTTTGTTTGAGATGGAATCTTGTTCTGTCACCTAGGCTGGAGTGCAGTGGCACGATCTTAGCTCATTGCAACCTCTACCTCCTGGGTTCAAGCGATTCTTCCACCTCAGCCTCCCAAGTAGCTGGAATTACAGGTGCCCGCCACCATGCCTGGCCAAATTCTTGTATTTTTTTTTAGTAGAGATGAGGTTTCAGCATGTTGGCCAGTCTGGTCTTGAACTCTTGTCCATAAGTGATCCACACACCTCAGCCTTCCAAAGTGCTGGGATTACAGGCATGAGGCACTGTGCCTGGCCATTCAATGACTGATTTTTTAAAGTAATATGACAGAATTGTCAGAAGCCTTTCAGAAATATTGGAGAAAATGGTCACTAATGCTAGTTAATAGTCTTCACCTAAAAATGGATGCAACTTTGATCCTTGATGATATAGCAAATATATTTTGGAGCCTGAATGCTGACTGGCTTCTTTGTTGCTATTAAGGACTAGAGTCTAGTAACTAGAATGTCAGTTGGGGTCATTAGCATTATTAGTAACAGATTGGAACATATAGCATTCTATGTATTACTCAGAAATAAAAGAGATGAAAATGAGCATCATTCCTTCGGCCACACATTGTATATTACAAATAGAAAAACCTGCTCCATATCTAACAAAGACTGTAGGAATCCAAGCACAGTGCTCACCTGCGCTTGGAATGCCAAGTAAAATGTGCATTTTAAAAAGTCATTAATAGGATATAATTCCTGCTAAAGATGATATTTCATTAGGAGAATTCAGTTGTCTTAGTCTGTTCAGGCTGCTATAAACAGAATGTGATAGACTGGGTGGCTTATAAGCAACAGAAGTTGATTGCTCACAGTTCTAGGGGCTGAGAAGTACAAGATCAGGGCGCCAGCAGATTTGGTGTCTGGGAGAGTCCACTGCCTGGTTCATAGGTGGCCATCTTCTTGCTGTGTCCTTACATGGCAGAAGGGGTGACAGAGCTCTCGGAAGTCACCACCCTTATGACCTAACTCTCCCAAGTCTCTTCCTCCTAATGCCATTACATTGGGGGTTAGAATTTTAACATGAATGCTGGGAAACACAGAATTCAGTCTACAGCATCGGTATAGAGTTAATTTTCAGTGAATTATGTTGATTACCCTGAAAGCAAGATGAGTACATCTTGTGTAAGTGACATATGTCTTCCTTGGAGTCTTCAAAGTACACTACTTAGAAATTAATAGACCAAGGATAGTGGTGGTTAGTTTGTTTCAAGTCACTTTGCAATCCTGAATATTTTACAAATAATTTTCTTTAGGAAATTTCTTTTAATTTTTATTGTTAGTGGTCATAGCTTTACTATATAATTCTAATCTCAATATATATCTTGTCGTCTGATTACAGACATAAAAATGATTGAAAAACTCAGGATATAGAATTATGACTCTAAGAAATATCTAGTGTTAGTTGTCACTCTGCAACATACTGTCTTTATTATCTTGATCGAGTTATTTGGCCTTTCTGATACTCAGTTTGCTCCTTGTGAGGTTATTGTGATGATT